CGGGCCCTCTTGATGGAGGTAAGACCCTACGTCCTGCTTGATTAATATTGATGATATGGGTAGTACAAGAGTAGATCTACCACGAGATCAAGGAGGCTAAACCCTAGAAGCTAGCCTATGGTATGATTGTTGTATATGGAGTTGATGTCCTACGCACTACAACCCTCCGGTTTATATAGACACCGGATAGGGTTAGGGTTACATAGAGTCGGTTACAATGGTAGGAGATTTTGAATATCCGCATCGTCAAGCTTGCCTTCCACGCCAAGAAAGTCCCATCCGGACACGGGACGAAGTCTTCAATCTTGTATCTTCATAGTTCAGGAGTCCGGCTGAAGGTATAGTCCGGCTACCCGAACACCCCCTAATCCAGGACTCCCTCAAGTAGGTATTTAGATAAAGTGAAAAAAGGGTGCTTGATCACAAACTTTGATGAAACTGAGTGCCTCATGGCTCTTCAAAACTCTGGCTTGTGCTTTGTCTACCAAAAACGATGCCTCTGGAAATTCCGCAAAGTCTTTCTAGCCAGACCATTCCATGAAGTGGACCCACCTTGAGTTTCCTGCTCAAATATAGACAATGTTATTACACGCGATGAGTTGATATATTAACTGCAATAGATCCAATAATCTGGCGATGGATGTATACAAGGCAATGAAGAACATGAGGCTAATCATAAACTGTATTTGAAGTGTCACGCATGCTTCATAAATTGGGATACGTTCAGAGCATCAGAGGTCATACAAGACAATGAAGAAAATGATGCTAAGCATAAACTGTATTTTAAGTGTCACACATGCTTCATAAACTCGGATACAGTCTTTGTGTCTTGTTCGCCTTTGAAGCATGTATATGGAAGTTGCAATTTGCAGTGAAATCTCAACGTCTTGATATTCTCAACCTTTTTCCCAAGGCAACGTCTTATTAGCATATTTTTTCAATCTGGGAACAAGATGCTAAACTATTATGCTAGTTATTATGGCCTGGGAGTTGTGATGGTAGAAACATCCAGCTATGTTCGGCTACTTACAAATGGAAGGCATTGCAATGACTCTAAAAACATATTGACTTCTACTTCAACATATCTTTATAAGCATGTGCAACCAATAGCATTCATTTATATTATTCACGATTATTATTTGGACATTTAACATATTTTGCTATCAACATTAATATCTTGGCCATTTAATTCCTAAGATGGTTTGTGTTGATGTACCATCATTGGACATTATCCAATAAATCTTAATTTATGATTTATTTATGACAGATTCATTTGGCCACCTGCCTCCCGCCCTAGAGAGAGAGATGGTACATATCCTTAACTCCTTAGATGCCATATATACTTCCTCTTCTCGTGCCGCGAGCTGCTAAGCATTGTGCTCACAAACAACTCCCCTCCTCGTCCAAACAACATGTTACACCTCCTCCTTGTGTTTTTTCGGCCCATTAATTACTCTATGCTGAGCATGGGAGGCATCAAGAAGTTCCCCATGATCAGTCTCGTCCTCGCTCATTTTGCTCACCATTCCACGACCGGATTCTCACGGCGAACATGCAGTGGTATACAACCATGTTGTAGACGCCCACCCGCCGTCTGTATGTGAGCTGCCATGAATCGTCGACTCTGCTGTGACCGATGTCTGGTCCTTGGCGCACTCATCTACTTCCCTGACCCATACCATCGCCATTCTGAGTCTGCTTCCGTACGTGGGTGATCGGTAGGAGGAGCTCCCTGGAGGCCGATATGGCTTCGATTTCTAAAGGTGCTGAGGTCGCTGCTGCTCGTTACTGGGATGTGATAGGGTACGAAACTATGAATCATGGAACAAAGCTGCTCTGTAAAAATGCAGAAAGAAATCTGCCTTTAGGGCTTGTAATTGCATTTGTAATGTCATGATGAATACCAGCTTAGTGCGTCGAGGCCTACGTAGCATAGTGGTAGTGCGTTCCCTTCGTAAGGGAAAGGTCGTGAGTTCGATCCTCACCGGGGGCTTCTGTGTTTCCCTTTTTTGCCATTCTGTTTTCTTCTTCATCCGCATCCAAGCAAAGCATCCTACTGAATTACATTTCTTCATGTCACAACGCTTCATCATCCAAATCAATTTCTGGTCTTCGCTTGGCCAACCTTTTCTCCCATGTTGCATCTCAAGACCACCTTGGTTGGAGCATGCATACGAATGCAGCCTATGAATTCTGCTGTTGCATGCCACAGCCTGTCGGTCATCTTGTTGGCAAATCAGAGGACCATTTTGTCTCCCATCATCATACATCTACCAACATTGATCTGCATTTTGTTTGGAAGAAGGGGATGATGAGCCTTTGCGTGTGTGCGTGTGTGTGTGTCCCAGGGAATGGTCCTTCCTAGGATGAAATAATCCAGCAAGTATTTCTTACTTTCTTGCCAGATCAAAGCGAGAAAGAGAGAGATGCACACACATGGACATGGACATGATTAGTGGCTATACATATCCAGCTGAAACTGGGGGGAAAAGAGGGTACATGGAAGGAAAACATGAAGCTGCAGACAGACGCTCATTGAGACCACAAGTTTTCAGAGTCGGTGTCCATCACATAGCAGCGTAGAGCGTCCTCGATGGCCCTTTTTCAGGAACGGCTTCACTGAGTTCCCCTTGTGTGAATCGGGGCCACTTGGCCAGCATTCTGAACCTGCACTCGCACGGACAGAAAAAACAGGTTACTCCTCAGTAATCTACACTGGCAACGTACATAGTAGACTCATTCTTTTTGAATTATTTTTGGAGCAGTAGGTATCGAGATGAAGTGAGAAAAAAAAGAGTAGGTGATTGATCACAAACCTTGACGGAACTGACTGTCCGGTGGCTCTTCAACACTCCAGCTTGTGCATCGTCTACCAAAAACGATGATTCAGCAGTTTTGGCAAAGTCTTTCTGACCAGACCATTCCATGGAGTGGATCCACCTTCAGTTTCCTTCTCAGACATAAACAATGTTACGCTGGATAAGTTGATACTCTGACGATGGCTGAAATGCATCTAATAATCTGACGATGAAGTTGAGTATATCTTAACTGCAATGCATCTAATAATCTGATGATGACTGTAATACAAGAAAATGAGGAATATGGTGCTAAGCATAAACTGTATTTTAAGTGTCACACATGCTTCATGGGATGCAGTCTTTGTGTCTGCTCGCCTATGAAGGGCCTATATGGAAGTTGCAACTCGCAGTGAAATCTCAACTTCTTGATATTCACAACCTTTTCCCAAGGCAACTGTATTATTAGCATGTTTTTTCAGTCTCGAAACAAGAAAACAAGATGCTAAACTGTTACGCTAGTTATTATGGCCTGGGAGTTGTGATGGTAGAAACATCCAGCTATGTGCGGCCACTTACAAATGGAAGGCATTGCAATGACTCTAAAAAGTAAAAACATATTGACTTCCACATCAACATATCTTTATAAGTATGTGCTGCCATTCATTTGTATTATTCACGATAATAATTTGGACATGTAACATACTTTGCTATCAATATTAAAATCTTGGCCATTTAATTCCAAAGACGGTTTGTGCTGATGTCCCACCATGGGACATTATCGAATATATCTTTATTTATGATTTATTTACGATAGATTCATTTGGCCACCTGCCTCCCTTCCTTGAGAGAGAGAGAGAGAGAGATGATACATATCCTTAGACAGATTCATTTAGCTCCCTACATGCATATATACTTCCTCTTCTCGTGCCGCGAGCCAAGTATTGTGGTCGCATACAACTCCCCTCCTCGTCCAAACAACATGTTACATCTCTCCCTGCGAAAATAAAAATAAAAAAAAGTGTTACATCTCCTCCTTGTGTTTTGGCCTATTAATTACTCTATCCTGAGCATGGGAGGCGTCAAGAAGTTCCCTATGATCTATCTCGTCCTCACTAATTTTGCCTACCATTCCACGATCGGATGCTCATAGCTAACATACTGTTCCTGATGACCACTATGTACACGCCCACACACCATCTATATCCGAGATATCTGGTCCTATTTGCACACTCATCTACTTCATTGACCCCAATGGTCGAGTATTTGCCTACGTGGACGATCGGTAGGGGAGCTCCTTGGAGGCGGATTTGACTTTGATAACTATAGTTGCTGAGAGCGCTGCTACTTGTTATATGGATGGAGTAAGACCATGGGATAAAGCTGCTCTGTAAATGTTGAAAGAATCCACTTTATGCCTTGTAAGTTGTAACTGGATTTGGAATTTTTTTGGCCGATGCTGTAACCCTTTGACATCGGAGTAGCTATCTGGCGAACGTGAACGCCCCAGAGCCATCTGACGGGGGGGTCAGACGGCGGCAGTTTTACACCAAAAACTCACGCGATTTAAACAAACTTCCATGACAGTTCTGCAAATTCAACCTGTCATCCTGACTGGCAAATTGGCATTTCTACCATTCTGTTTTCTTCGTCATCCAACTCAATTACCATTTGTGTTCTGGTCTCTCCGCATTAATGCCTAAGGATTATCCTGTTGCACGCATGCCAGTCAGTTAGACCATAACTGCTTGTTGGCAAATCTGAGGACCACTTTGTTTCCCATCATACATCTGAACATTGATTCGTTGATCACTTTTTGCTTGGAAGAAAGGGATGATGAGCCATAATTTGTGTGTCAGTGGCGATGCTGCCCAGAGGGTATTTCCTTTGGCCAGATCAGAGAGAGAGGGACACACAGTCACACACACACACACATCGGCATGATTAAAACATGAGCGGCTCTCAAACATCGCCCCCCATGGTGTATTCCATCCTTCATCAACGTCATAAACCATACATCCTGCAGTTACATTTTGGGGCCAACTTTCTTTTCTTGTTATTAGGGACTACATATCCAGTTGAAACAGCGGAGAAAAAAGATACATGGAAAACAGGAAGCTACAGCAGACACTCCTTCAGACCGTAAGGGCGACGCGTGCAGGCTACCTAGCCAGTTTCTTTTCCCTTTTTGGTCGGTGTTGACGATCACATCGCGGCGTAAAACGTGGTCGTAGATGACTCTTCTTCAGGAACCGCCTCCTTGAGTTTCCCCTGGGTGAATCTCCTCAGCATTTCAAGGGCGGCCTTCGGTTGGTCCATCGGAACCATGTGGCCAGCATTGTGAACCTGCATTTGCACACACAAACAGATGTCAGCAATCTAGACTGGTCATCTATCTAGACTCGCTTCTGCTCCTCATTGATCTAGTGGTTAAGTAGTACTGTTTGGGTCATGTCGGCGTAACCGTGCTTTACTGTGCCATCTAGGCATGCTTACTGATGCACCAAGTTTCTTCAAAAAATGAATGGGCCAACTTCTTTCGGATTGTTTTTTGGGAGCAGTAGGTATCGAGTAAAGTGAAAAAGGTGCTTGATTGCAAACCTTGAGGAAGCTGAGTGCCCCATGGCTCTTCAATACTCCAGCTTGAGCATCGTCTACTAAAAACGATGATTCAGCAGTTTTGGCAAAGTCTTTCTGACCAGACCATTCCATGGAGTGGACCCACCTTGAGTTTCCTGCTCAAACATAAACAATGTTACACTTGACATATTACATGACATACATCAAATAATCTGACAATGTGTAAGACAATGCAGAACATGAGGCCAAGCATAAACTTTATTTTAACATGTTAGGTTAAAAAAGTAGGATTCAGAAACTGGGATGCTGGTGTTCCTATTCACCTAAAAATGACATGTAAAGATCCTGTCATGAAAGAGCAAGCTATATGCAGTATAAATGGGGGACATTTCAGTACTTAATTAGTTATGACAAAGCAAATTTGCAAAAATGACTCTAAAAAACATATCGACTTCGACATATCCTTACCGAGCCAATTGCATATAAGGTCATATTCCCCAGCATATATGAGCACATTGATCCCATCCTCAAGTAGAGCTGGGATGCCGACTTCCAAGTTCCTCATCCAGTCTGTGAGCATTGCTTGATAAACCGAAGTGCTGCATGAGACGAATTCAATGTCACCTACTCCAATTGCCTGTCTGACTGCTTTATCACCGAAGAACTTCTCCAAGTTTGAGAAGTCGTAGCAGAGTTTCCCTTCGCACTCCTTCCTAACGTCGTAATACTGTAAAGAGGCCATTAACAAGTTTTAGTTTATAGCCGCAAATAATATGTTTCTTAGTCTTTAGTCTACTGATGCTATTAGCAAAATTAACATCAATTCCTCACTTACATTCTTGGTACCAACAAGCTTCATGATAGAGTTGAAGATGGAATTGCAGACCATATATGCTGCCATGCAAGATGCCTTCCCATCTGTACCTGAAACGTAAGTATGCCGTTAGGGACATTTTTCTTTTAACTTGGAGAAATCTTCAGGTATCAGGATGTGATTTGAATGTGTTGTTTGGTTGTTAAAAAAATGCGTTGTTTGGTAGAAAATACTCCTAGATACTGTGTAGACAACTTTATTTTTTTTAACCAAAAAAGTGTATGCAACATTAGTTAACCTCATTTATACCCTATAAATGGATTCATTCAAGTTTCAAGAAGTCTGACAGTTGGAAATATATACATGTTATTCTCAGGCAATGGCATCACAATGCTTTTATCTTTTGCAAATGATAACAAGGAAACAGAGCATTTAGTTCAAAAGCATTTATGTAGTACTGACCACAAAGTTTGATTGCAAATTCACATGGTGGGATGAATTTGTTGATCCTTTCATAGTCAGCTTTCTGAATAAGGTTCATGTCCAACGCATAGTCTGTGTAGGCCTTGTATTGGATTGCTGGATCTGTGAGGCCATTACCAATCGCAAATCCCTGTAATACAAATAACAGAGATGCGTATTAAGAAAGAATCAAATCATCAATACAGAATTAAAGGCAACCCAAACTTCGGCAAGGATCTTACCTTCAAGTTTATGTGAGTGCCCTCATTTTTCTTGTTTCCCTGGTGAACTCGGCTTGCAAATGCTGGAATGTAGTGCCCAGCATAGGATTCTCCAGTAATAAAGAAGTCGTTCTTTACAAATTCCGGATGCTTCTTGAAGAAGACCTGAAATGGGAGTTAAGAACAGATAATTACTACACAGTACTTCTCTGTTTTCACTCAAGTCAACAGAGTCTAAATAATCAGGCCTTGGAACAATACACAGCTCTGTTTCATGATTCTTCTACTTCACCTGGTCTTATCTGAGGGCTAAATTTTAGGTAAATCATCGTTTACCACCTCAAACGAAGCTATGCAGTCAAATTTGCTATATTCATATTTTTACACAATAGGAAGATTGAAGAGGACACACAGTTAGGCATATCAGTAGGAGGGCACCTGCCTAACTCTTGGACAGTTAGCCAAAAGAGGTGGATGGGATACACATTTGTTGTTCTGGTGGATCAAGGGGTGCAGAAATAGTAGCTAGCACTAAATGCAGAAAGTACGGAAAACATCTTGTAATGCACTTAATCAGAAAAAAAAGGGTTATGCTCCGGTGGGAGTATCCAATCGTAACGGAATTGTTGTGCCTTAAGAAAGTAGAACTGCACTATATATGAGCATATTATTAACTGATACTACCAAACTACTACAAATAAAAGAGTGTCCTGATGTGTTTATTCTTGTTATGTCATCGTTGTACACTAGAGGATATTTTAGCATGTCTTGCTAAAATGTTCCTTACTGAATTAATGTATCATCTCGTCAGTCGTCACCATCAATTTATAAAGTACATAAGTAAAGTGCATCTTGGACCGAAAACAGTACCTGGAGAAAGTCATAGAGGTCATTGCTGACCCCTGCCTCGTCGTGACGGGTATCGCGGTCGTCGGAGCTGTAGCTGAACCCAGTCCCGGTCGGCTGATCAACGAATATGATGTTGGAGATCTGCAGGCAGCAAGTAGCATCAGCACAGCAGGAGGCAGACCAAACCACAGACCACAGTAGCTTAGTAATAATAGCTGACATAATCCAGGAGCTGTCTGTCTGTCTGCAGCCCAAAGACCTCAAATTGACCTTGTCGTCACCATCAATTTAACCACGGATATATACAATTACTATTTTCTGAACCACTAGTCAGACACAGAAAAAACACTTCAGTTCAGACTTCAGAGCAGTTGCTTTCACCCAAAATCAGGCGACAGTTTCAGACTTACAAAATTTCAGGTCATATTTTTCAGTGGTTACGTGCTAGGTGAGCAAAGCATCCGGTTTCTTTCTTGACGAAACGTATAAAGCATTTTATTATTAGAATGTGTATTAATAAAGTGCATGGCAATTAAAGGTGAGATTGCCTACCTTGTCCCATCCGAACTTGTTCCAGACGAGCGACATGTTGTTGGCGATGGTGAAGGGCCCGTTCTCGTAGAAGACGGCGAGCTCGCTGCTGCACCCCGGGCCGCCGGTGAGCCAGATCACCACGGGGTCCTCCTTCTTGCCCCGCGACTCGAAGAAGAAGTAGAACATCCTGCAGAAAGAAATTCCCTCAATTTCCGTCCCGAAAACCGCTCCCCAATCGCCGGCAAGCCGGGCCGCCGGCCGTTACGGGCCAGAAAGCCTTGGAATTTGGCGCAAAAACAGAGCGAATTGGCTTCACGAGAGCGGAAAGCAAGGCGCGACGGCCGGAGTTTATCTGACCGACTGACCTGGCGTCGTGGGTGTTGGGGAGGCGGTAGTAGCCGGCGTGGTGGCCGAGGTCGCCGACGCCCTCGGGGAGCCCGGGCAGCGTGACCCGGCGCTCCAGCAGCTGCCCGGGCGCCACGTCCTCTGCCCCCGCGCCGAGGCCGCGGAGGCCGGAGGACGCCCCCGGGAGCAGGTTGAGCGCGCGGATGAGCCGCTCCGCCTGCGCGCCCGGGAAGCTGGCGTCCGGGGGCAGCCGGAGCGCGTCCACCGCCGCGCCGGCGAGGAGGCAGGCGGCGGCGAGGAGGAGGAGCAGGAGGCGCGAGGTCGTCGCCATTGATGGTGCGATGGTGGGGAGAGGAGGTAGCGGTTTCGTGGGGATTTGGCGGAGGTTTCCCCGGGAATTTATAGCGTGGCGTGGCTTTCGGGGTGGAGCTTGCAACGGACTGCTGCTGCTGCTCTGCTCTGTTCTTGACTTGGCTTGGAAGCGCATCCTGAGATGAGATTCCTCTCCTTTTTTAATTCTTTTTTTTTCTTTTGTATCTGGACACGAAGTAGTATTATACTTCCTCCGTTCCTAAATATTTGTCTTTCTAGAGATTTCAAATGGTCACCACATACGGATGTATATAGATATATTTTAGAGTATAGATTCACTCATTTTGCTTCGTATGTAGGCACCATTTGAAACCTCTAGAAAGACAAATATTTAGGAACGGAGGGAGTATATTACAGTTTTGCTAAAGCACATCTAGATGTGCCATAAGTATTGCACATCTAAATCCTATGCCATTGATCTTACATGGAGATTCGTGTTGGTATTTTCTCTTTCCTTTTTTTTTCCTTTCTATACTTGATTGAGCCACTTAGATGTGCAATAACTAGGGCACATCTAGATGTGCCCTAGACATTATTATCAGGTGTTGTTTAATCATAAATAACTCTGATCAAAATCCTAATTCTGATCCGAATCATGGTGCACGATGGAGTAGACCAGACGGTGCCCGTACCCACCGTGAGAAAGAAACTTCCGAGATCCAGGGAAGCTGGGCATAAAGAAGGGCTTTATTCCTTACTTTCTGCAAAGTAAAATTTTCTTTTTTGATGAGCCGGTGAGTTTTATTATTCCTCAAGAAATTAGTACATACTACGGATCCACGGAAGCTTGTAGAAGCATCGGACAAGAAGTCGTCGATGTAGACTAGAAGATGCCGGTAACTTGTGCAGTAAATCACCGTCTCGGAGAAGAGAACGCAACTCTCACCCACTCCCCGACAAGGTCTACGTTGGTCGATGTTTAGCGGTCGGAATTGGAGCCGAATAACAAGGTCGCGCTATCTACTCCGCGGGATAGCACCACCGGGACAAAATCCTACAGAATAAAAACAAACCCTTGCCTGGAGAACCAGATCTAGGAACACACCACCCTTCCCACACCTCCAACGAAGCCAAAAATCACTATAAGAACGAGGAGAAGGCAGTGAAGGACTTGTTCCATGCTGACGACAGCGTCATTGCCTCATCGTCGATTATTGGGGACAAACCTGAACTAAAAACCACACCCTGCCATGCATCATCGATTGAGTGGCGTGCGGTGGGAGAGGGGCACGGGATCTCACAGGGGAGGACGTGGATCGGCGCTATTGCCTAGGCAGGAAGGACTTTGTTACCGGAATTTTTTTTAGAACAATCATATTTTGAAGTTCCCAGAATTCTGAAAAAGTACACATGCATCTAGGGATGTATAACACCTTCGAAAAAATGCATGATGAAATACATTATGGTCCCAAGTCTTTCTAGCACATGCACTATTCATTTTCACTATAAAAGTATATTATTTTGTTTTTATACAGCTCACACCTAGTTGTATTTGATCGTGAAATTCTACATAAATGTAGTATACATCCCAATGTTCATGAGTAATTTTTTAAAAGATTTTCCAAAATTTTAAATATAATTTCCAACCAAAAAAAAAACAGAGCTCCATGGAGCTCGGGAGCAAGAGAGAGACTCAACTTATTAGTCGTAGTAGCAGCCCCTCCGTTTGAAAATAATTCAAGCTTTAGGATTGTCCTAAATCAAACTTCCACAAGTTGGACAAAGTATACATAGAAATACATCAACATGTATAAAGCCAAATTGAGCTCATTAGATTAGTTATATGAAATAGTACGTATATTTTAATATTATATATGTTTAATATCGTACTAGATCTGTGCGTATTATTCTATGAACTTGGTCAACCTAAAAAAAAGTTTATAACTTAGAAAAAAAATCTTAGAAGTTGAATTATTTTGAAACCGGGGGGGGTAACATACAGTGTACCACGTCGTCGATATTCACGTGCTCCTGCATTGATCCTGGAACTGTCTTGGTGTTGGCCGTAACAGAATCTTTCCGCATTACACGTACACGTCCGACGGCAGGACATAGCAGCAGGTGGACGAGGTCGGCTGGGTCTGTTTGCCTCGCCGGTGACATGAATGGACGGCCTTTCTTCGTGGGTTGTGGCGACGTGCAAGGCAGGACAAGCTAGGTAGCGATGTGATGCGTTGCTCAACGCCGAGAGAGACGGCAGCAAAAATAGCACCGGCTGAGAACGCAGACGCTACTTTTATTTTGTGTTGCGGATCACTGCCACGGAGAAGAAAACATCCAAGAGGGCATGTATTGAGCATGAAACTTTATGGAAATGTGGCATACACCCCCAATGTTTCATGTGTATCTATTTTCGACTTTCTAAAACTTTAAATATAGAATTTTGCTTAGAAAAGTTGATGGGTTTGAATCAGATTAAAGGTGGAGATTACAAGGTACTATGTACCCCCTGTATGAAAAAGTAGACGACAGTCTTTTGTATAGAAATCAACCTATTCAATCCGTGTATACTTTGGCTTTTAAGGAGGACGTACCCAAGCAAAAGCTCTTAAATATGATCTTTCTTGGTTTTTATAAAGAGGTAATAGCACCAGCAGTCCTTGAACTTGTCCAGGATGTGATGATCTAGATTGACCGGCTTTGCTGACTAGGCTCCACTTGTCATCGTCTGATTGGTTAGGACTAAATTTGCACATTGGGTGCAAGTTGTGGGATGCAATAGTTTGCTTTTACAAGTTTTGAACTAGATCATCACATCCTGGACAAGTTCAAGGACCGCTGGTGCTATTACCTCTTTTATAAAGATGGTTCCATGGAGCTTGGGATGGGAGCAAGAAAAGCACGAACCTATTAGCGTAATAGGAGTAGTAGTAGTAGTAGTATGGAAATGTACTATGCTGACATGTCCGACATTCATGCGTTCCTCCGTTGGTTCTGCAACTGTCCTGGCGTAGGATGCAACAGATTTTATTCGCCATTACGCGTACACGTCGGACGGCACGACATATATAGCAGCACGTTGACGAAATCGGTTGGGGTTTGTTTCGCCGGGTGACATGAACGGACGGCCGGAGAATCTGACTCAACTCAACTCTCGCATTCACGACTGCGTGCTCTCGACCGTTCCGCTCTTTTTTTGGCTGCTGTCGCAAGCTGAGCTGAATCTTGTTGGGTTGGTTGTTGCTTGTTGGAGTCTTCTCCTGGTGCTAGTACTAACTTGGGCGTTCCTTGCACGCAGCAGCATCACCTGCGGCATTGATTGATTGCTCCGTGCTGATCGGATCGGACGTTCGATTATTGGTCTCCGTCTACACTGAATTGCAGATGCAGACTGCAACGTGAGTTGCAGCAGAGGTTGCTTGGCTTCCGCCGCTCGCAAGCTCCCTGTACAGCGCGTACGTGCGTACGTTGCAGCGACCGGCAAAAGGGCAAAGAGGCCGGCCGATTATTAGATCATCCACATCACGTCACATGCAGCACCGCACCGGCGCTGGAACAAGAGAAACAAAGGCAACATGTACACGGAAAGCAACTGCCAGAGTTCCGTCCACTCGATCGCCTATCACCGTCGGCCGTGGCTGGTAACGAATGTGCCTTCCTCTGCCTCTGCGGCTGCTCTGCGATGCCTGCTGCAGCAGAGTCCGTCCGTCCGTTCAGATCGTTCTGCGGCTGCTCTGCGATGCGATGCCTGCGATGCCTGCTGGATCAACGCCGAGGGAGAGAGATTGCTACGTAACTCTAGATGATGATCCATTAGTTTCTACTAGTAATAAGTTGTGCTGGATTACAGATTCAGACTCCCCTGCTGATGAGGGCATGAGCTAGGCGAGTTGCCGCAAAGGTTGCTTCGCTTCCGCAACTCGCAAGCGCAGTACGTACGTAAGCACAACAAGGAAAATGGAAACACCCGATCGATCGATCCGTCTATCACATGCCTGTCTCGCTACCGTTAAAAAGAAACAAGGGCAGGCAGGCAGACGGAAGGCAAGAAGCTGCCGAACCAGCTCGTCCGTCGACGTCGCTCGCTGCCCAACGAATGAACGTGCCCGTGTCTGCGTGCGTGTGTGTACGTTGTACGTACGGACTTGCTTTGCTGCGAGAGTCTGCTAGCTGCAGAGTCCAGATCCAGCTGCATGCGCCACTAGTAGTGGTATAGCTAGATGGACGGACCACGCCCTTTCGAAATAGGCTTTCGCCCCACTTTATAGATAAAGCACGAGATCACACATCAGAGTACACGGCCGAACGATAAAAAGTGATGTGTGACCCTCATACAATGCCGCTCCTAAGATGGCCAGGCCACCAACACGCGGCGCAACCGAAAACAAGTACATGATGAGCTGAAAACACCGACACACTACGCCCTACCCACCTATAGTCACACAACATCGCCCTCAAGGGGGAGAACAACGTGAAGCGACGCCAATGCCGAGTCCAACCGGACACGGATAGAAGCCCCACAAAGACGTCTTCAGGAAGAGAACGGCGCCCACATGCGTCGCCGTCATCGGCGACCAAGCGCAAAGCAACCCACCCGTGCCACCACGAGGTCTCAAGGGAGAGAGTGAAGAGATGAGCTCCCCAGGTCCGGGATCGGGGCGCCACCGTCGCCAGAGGCAGGGAGCACCCGAGTCACCTTCCGCCATAGCCCTCACCGCCCACAAGGCCAAGAGACATAGCCACCACCGCCGCGATGGTGCCCGCTGAAGGGCCAACCATATGGACCACGCCTGGCACTTCCGCCCACGCACGGTGCAAACGCTTTTTGGGTTGGGGGCAAACGGGACTCTACTTTTTTTTGGAGTGCAAATAGGGTTCTTTATTATTCAAAATCGTTCAAAGCAAGTCCAAAGATGGCGGCCTTAGCTAACAAATGAGCTTCTGCTATACTCTCTATGCTCATGAAGCTATAGTCATTTGTCTAAATGATGATGCACGATGCTCCATCTCCCTCAAGATCATCATGTACGAGCACAAGACCTTCTTATGATAATTGATTAATTGGTTACCACTTATAGACAGCCAGTGGCCAATGTTACTGCATCGATGTTAATATCCTGTGCAAGAGCAAAACCCACATTGCATGCAGTAGCTTCAAGGCACGATGGACCCCGCCCAAAAACTGGCCCTTTTCATCTCGCCACACGACAGCTGCTGCACCCTACCGGTCATCTCTACATAGACCCCGCCAACATTAACCATCCCGCGTCTGGAGCAAGCCATTTTCTTGTCGGCCTTGACGTTCCTTGATTCGCATTCTACTTCTTGGGTTTTGCATAAACCTGAATCTCCTCCAAATTTCTTGTTATGAAACCCCAAGTGGACATCGGGTCTTGATATTCCTCGTCGTGAATCGCTCTTCTCCTTGCCCACCATATGGCCAGAGCGTGACAAGCACTACAGTCGGCTCGTGTTGTTTCAGATACTTATCCCCAAGGTTCCGGAGACTCCTTTTTTGTTTGGAAAGGTCCTTAAGGTCTTGTTTGATAAAGGGTGTTGGAAAGGTTACAGGGGATTAACCATGTGGGCCTGGTAATCCTCAGAAATCCTAACATGGGTGTTTGGTGTGCAGGGTTTTGACCGGCCCAAACCCTCAGATCCCCAGCAACCCCCTTCATACCTGAGACAGCTTCATCACACTCAACGTGAGATGGCAGCAAGGCTCGTCCGAAGGATTCGCTACCACCTGTAGCTACTGGGTCGGCCTATATTCGCTTTTTTTGTTCGCTGGATTTCAATTGCTTTCGCTATGTTCGTTCACTAAGTTGGTTTCCAAGGTTTTTTTTCATTTGCTTTTTTATTGTTTTCCGGTTTTCTTTGTTATCTTTTTTCTTTATCTCTTCACACTTCTTAGAGGTTTATTTTTTCTTCACGGGTTTTCTTCATTTATTTCATCGGTTTTCATTTGTTTTTTCTTTTCTTCATTTTTTTCTTTCTTGGTTTCTTTCTTGTTTCGTTGTTTCCTTTTCTTTTATTGACTTTTCTCACTTTTAAGTACACATCAACATTTTTCATATACATTAAAAAGATTTTTATATACACGTTTAACATTTTGAAATACATGATTAACATTTTTTGAAATCTTATATTTTTTATTTCTACTTTTTTCATGCACATTGTACATTTTTGGTATATATCTATTACATTTTCATAATATTTGTTTAAGATTTTTCAAATACAAGTTTAACATTTTTAATACATTGTCAAAAAAATTCAATACAAATTTTAAATATTTTCAAATGCTTGATTTTTTAATACATGGTTAACATTTTTCTATACACATTTAACATTTTTCAAATGCTTGATTGACCTTTTTTAAAAACTTGTTGAACATTTTTTTGAAATGCTTGATCAACTTTTTTCAGAGAAATTATATATTTTTGTACATTTTTCGTATTTGTAAGAAAATTTTATTTCATACACACTTAACAGTTTACAAATGCTTGGTTAACTTTTTTTACATGTTTTATTTAGAATATTTTGTAATATATTTATTTGGAATATTTGGTACTATAAACAAAATAAAAAAAACAAAGACAGAAGACGTGAATAAAAAACAAGGTTCAGACCTCTTGCGTGCCTAGGCTGGCCCATCTTGCGTTGGCCTATGCAGGAGGCTTCCCTATGTCGCGCTAAAAGCGAGACATAGGGGCACCCTCCGTTCCACACAGAACTGAACTCATGAGGTCCCTTGGAACTGGACGACGCGGAGATCGTGTGAGATGCTGAGATCGAGCAAGTTTAATCAAATGCAGAGAATTAGGAAAGGGGAGGGATTAATGGGGATTGGATGAAAGGGAGGGAATGACCAAATACCCTGCAATCCTCCGCCCCCTCTGGACAGCCTCCCTTCACAAATGAAGCCTAAAAGGGATTTTCAAAATAATGTTCGCATACTAAAAAAAATATTCATGATTTTGAGAAAATATTCATGATTTTGTAAATATGTTTGGAAAATCCAAAAATGTCCTCGTATTAAAAATAAATTCTTAATTTTCAAAAAATGTCCATCATTTTTTTAATGCTATCAAAAATGAAAAATGTCCTCAAATTTCAGATGAAGTTCATCTATTCAAACAAGGTTCAATGATTTCGTTCATGCGTTTCACAAAATATTCTTTAAGGAAAAAATATTCATGAATTTCAAAATTTGTTCCTAAAATTCAAAAATGTTCACGAGTTTCAACAAATGTTCACTATTTCGAAAAATGTGGGCGAATTCATAAAATATTTTCACAGTTTAAGAAAATGTTCATGAATTTGTAAAAAAAATCACAGTTTGAAAAAACATATGTTCTCGAATTCAAAAAATGTTCATAGTTTCCTAAAATGTTCACGAATTTGAAAGATGTTCACAAAATGAAAGAGAAAATAAATGTAAGGAAAGAAATCAAAATGACATAAGGAAAAAGAAAGCAACAATAAAGCCTTTGGTCCCAAACAAGTAAGATCTCGCAACCAATTCATGGTTCTGGCACACATGACACGTAGATAGCAAGCTTTCACACACCGACGTACATGACTAGTTTTTTGGTGATACTCTAGTCCTTCAGATCTCTCTTTTACAGACTCCTTACATGTCAAGTTCAGTGTACCCCGAGTAAAGAAAAAAGGAACAAGAAGAAAAGAAAATGAATAAAGATTCTTCTTTGGTTTACACTGGTTTTATTTGTTTCTTTCTCGATTTTATTTGTTTTACATAGGTTTTCTTTGTTTCTCTTTCGGTTTTCATAATTTGTTTCTTTGTTTTCCTATGGTTTTCTGTTTCTTTCTTGGCTTTTCTATGGTTTTCTTGTTTTCTTTGTTTCCTTCTCTTTTTTGCACTGTTTTCTCTCTAGGTTTCTTTCCCCTTTTCTCTTTGGTTTTCTTTTTTTTTCTTTTTCGTTTTTACATATATGTCTACATTTTTGCTACACATTGTAAATAAAATACGTCGAGAACATTTTTTAATACATGTTTCACATTTTTCGAATACTTCCTCCGTCCCATATAAATTGAAGCTAAAGTATATGTATGTAGACACACTAAAATGGTTTCTCAAAAAAAAAGACACACTAAAATGGATGTATCTAGCATTAAAATACGTCTAGATATATCTATTTGCGCCAATTAATATGAGACGGAGGGAGTAGATGATTAACATTTTATTCCAAAAAAATGTGTCAACGTCTATTGTTTTCATACATATTGTACATTTTTTATACATGTAAAACAGTTTTCATACATGTTTAACATTTTTTTCTGAAGCTGTGGTTTAACATTTTTCATATATACGATTAACAGTTTTTCAAAATTACGTTTTGAGATCTACTTTTCTTGATACACATCGTATATTTGTTTAAGTCTGACACATTTTTATACATGTTTAATATTTTACGTATACACATTTAACATTTTCTAAATACATGATTAATATTTTTTGAAACATATATTTTTGGATGTTCACTTTGTCCATACATGGTGTATATTTTTGTATCATCAGGAAAAAAATTATTTACATGGTTAACATTTTTCCAAGTACATGATTAACATTTTTGAAAACTTATATCTTTTGATGTCTATTTTCTCCATCCACATTGTATATTTTTTGTGTACATTGGAAATATTTTTTCTGTAGACATTAACATGTTTCAGATGCTTAATAAAGATTTTTAGAAAACTTATGTAAAATTTTGTTTGTAATATATACATTTAGAGTATTTGGAAGTATAAATAAAAGTATCAAAAGGAAAAAAAACTTGAAAAAAAGAAAGAAAAAGAACGCGGTGACCTCCCGCATGCCGGCCGCCCCATTTTGGCAGGCGCCATGTTGCCCGCGTTAGTTGGTCCGGCCCATTCGTGAGCTCCCTTCGGGCGAGAGCTGACTCTTTCTCGCGTCAAGCAAGACGTAGCCGGCCCCCTTCCCACCACCATTCTGCCCATCTCACAAAAAAAAAAACCCCACTATTATGCCCTTCCATGGACCCCCAATTTCCCCTCCGGTTGGAGTCCTCTGTCGCCATCTTTTCTTTCTCTGCCCAAGGAAGCTTCTCCGACCCTGATTTTTCCCTCCATTTACCTCGATTTTGTAGAGCCTGAATATTTCCCAGTTTTGCTGTGCTTGGAAGGAAGGCAGAAAAATGCAATGTGTTAACCTGAAACAGATTGGACTATCTTGCAGTCAGCATCGGCAGCAGCACTGATTGATTGGTCTGGGAGTCTGGTCGATCTAGTGATTCTGTCAGAAACACATATTCGTATAAATTTAGACGGTTTGTTTCAGTTATTCATGTTGTTAGCCTGTTGGGTATACTCACGGAATGCTTACATCACCACGCAAATTCATACAGATGGTTTGTTGTCAACGTGATGTGAACTCCATCAGCATGAATCACATATGAATAGACTCAACAGTACACACTGCAGTAAATAATTGCCCATACTAATTAAGCTCTTGTACTGCTGCTCCTCTAACATCATATGGATGGGCAAGAATAAATGGATCCACATATCCAGACCAGTTAAGCTAGGATAAATTACCAGAAAATTCAACGGAGATTTTTCTACCAGTGGGCCGACAGGGCTAAGGAGGCCTGAGAGGGCGTGCTTTTAGCTTGTTTTACTGCTGGAGAGGAATTCATAGACTTGTTCAGAGCAGCAAAATACTCCCTCCGTTCCAAAATAGATGACTCAACTTTATACTAACTTTAGTACAAAGTTGGGTCATCTATTTTGGAACGGAGGGAGTACATAAATTACACATTGATCATCGCACATCACTCTATAATTGCACGCACCTATCAGAAGCTTATTCAACGCAACACATATCTTGTCTAAAGTTTAAACTAAACTAGTAAATGCATGGACTTGTGCTCCCATAGGCCACGGGATTCATTCAGTATGCGGAGCCGCTTTGCAACATCTGTCATTTTTGGTCTTTGATCCAAGTCATGGCCAAGACATTCCACAGCAATTTGTGCCAGATCGTCTAGATGCTCCAGATCTTCCATCACTGCAATTTCTTCATCAAATAGATCAGTTGATTTCCTACTCTGCTTGTGATTCTCAAGGAAATTCCTTACTAAACTATTATTGTCAGAGTGTGTGGCCTTCTTCCTGGTAAGAAGCTCCAATATAATGATTCCAAAACTGTAGACATCACTGTATTCGCTAAGTAGGCCTGTTTGTAGGTATATTGGGTCCATATAAGCAACGTCACCCTTGACTGTTCTCGTGTGTTTGTAGCCTCTCCCCGTCGACCTTGGTATGCCAAATTGTGAGATCTTTGGCACAAAATGGTCATCCAAGAGTATATTTTCTGGTTTAATATTACCATGTAAGATATTGTGCCTTGAATGCATATAAGCTAGACCACGTGCTGATTCTGTGGCAATATTTAAACGCACGCCAAAATTGAGACGTACCTTGCTGTTGGTGTTGTGAAGAATGTCATCGAGGGTGTCTTTGGAGAGATATTCATATACTAGCATCGGGATGTCAACTTCTACACAACAACCTATGAGCCTAACAATGTTCTTGTGGAGGACTTGAGATTGCATGATTACTTCCTTTGCAAACTGTCCATTTTGTAGCACAGCACCACTGACCTGCTTCTTTACTATGACTGGTACCCTATCAACAAGGCCTATGTAAACATCTTCAAAGACACCTCTTCCAATACGGTTCTTATCCTGTATAACTGGCTTAAGCTCCTCCTTCTTGAAAAGTTTCAACATATCTATCTTCTCCAACATAGGCCCACCATTCCTCGTATAATTCCTGCGTGCTTTTGTAGTGAAGATGTTCAACTTGTTGAGCACAACAGAGTTAGATCTAGAAGTACTTGCCCCTTGTTGTTGGCTGGTATTTGGCTTCGTACCTTGAGCTCCTAGTAGTGACCACTGATGTTCTTTCCCGTACCGCCAATGATCTCTGAATGCCCCCAAAAATTCCATGGGTTCTTCCGTTTTAGCACGCCCGTTCATATCTTTTGAGAGATACTCAAATGAAAGCTCCAATGTTTGCCTTTGACCGTGTTGTTCATTCAGGGATCTAACCTGCTGCTCAGCAGATGGACTAGCGATGCCAGATTCTACTATACTTACTGTTTTATCAAGCTTATTAACTATATGATGTGCAAACGGTCTCTTCTTTGGGTTAGGGTCCATGCACTCTATCCCTATCGTAATGCATACTCTTACTTGCTCCAACTGCGTCTCCCTTTGATCTGCTGTCTCCAACCGATTCATCCAATTCTCTAGTACCTTTAAAGATGCAATGGTGAGTTCAGATCAAGATAGGAACTCTACTTATAGATGATTTGTAGCTACTATAGAAAGAGAAAAGAAAAAGAAATACGCTGGAAAGCCTAGAAGAGAAGATCATATATGACCGTTATGAATTCACATGAACACATGGGGGCAAACTAGAATAAGATCTGCCCTTTAGGTGTGATCGTGGGATCAACCACAAAATTTCATATTTAGAGAATCCGAAAAATTCTGAGTTTTTTGACACCATACCTGTGGGGTATGTCTACAACTCCAAAATAATCACCTCAAAACTCGATCTACATTTAGAGAATAAATAAAGACAAATTCGACCATAAATGATGTCAAGTTCGGGTGAATGGTGTCTCATCTGATTTTGTCTTTTTTTGTTCTCTAAGTCAGTGGAGGAACGTGAACTAAATCCAAGGGGGGCCAACAGAGCTATGGAGATTAGAGAGGCCGGATAATTAGAAGGAAGTTTAGGCTAAAGGAGGAGCTTAGCACTGCAAAGTTTTCATGGAAGGGGGCCGGGACCCCTGTTGGTCCCGCCGATGCTCCGCCAGTGCTCTAAGAGCAACTCCAATGGGGCGATCCAAACGGACGGCGCATTTGTCCGCTTTTTGTTCGTTTGGGTCGGCCGCCCGTCCGGCGTCCGCTCAGTTTTGCATTTGGGTCGGCAATGCGCCCAACGCGCCGACCCATTTCATGTCCGCATTCAACTTTTAAATAAAAAAAGGCCCGCGGTCGATCATGCCAGCGGCTATGTCTCATGCCGGCACCATGCCAGCACCGGCATACAATGCCGGCTTCAGAAAATACCACAGTTCATGCTGGTGCACTCGCCAGCCGGCCGGCACACATGCCAGCACACAAAAAATGGTGGGACTTGGAGTTCGACCACGCCATCGCGGCTCCCGTGGTCATGCCGGCACACCTGCCGACATACAAAAAGATGGCCCTCGACGCCATAGATCACTCGTCCTGGAACTTGAGCATGTCGGCCTGCATCTTCTCGAACCACGGCCTCTTCCTTGACGACAAGGCGTTGAGATCCACCTTCATGATCTCCACCCCGGTCATCATGCTTGCAAGAGCCACTTCTTTCGCCTTTGTCTTGGCGTTGGCGGCCTCGAGCTCGAACATCTTGGCTTGCTTCTCGGCCTCGAGCTCGAACATCTTGGCTTGCTTCTCGGCGTCAAGATCAAGCCTCCTCCTTTGGATCTCCATGAAAGCATCCATTTGCTCCGCCTTGAAATGCCGGCGCTCCTCCTCCCTTGAGTCCTTCTTATTCATCATGCTGTCCACGCTTGCGATCAAGGCGTTGGTGGCCGCATCTCGCTTGTCCAAATTGGTAGGGTGGAAACTTCTTGCGCTCATGGAAACTTCGAGGCCGGCGGCGGCGTCGAGGTCGAGGTCGATGGCGTCCTCCATAGCTGGTTGGGGGGCGGGGGCGCGCGCTGGCGGGAGTGTTTTTGGGGGAAATGGGGGGAAATGGTTGTGGCTGCCACCGACAGGCTGTCCCAGGGAGAGGAGTAGGCGCGCGCGCGCGTCCGTCTCCTGTCCGCGCCGACGCAAATCCGGCTCAAAAATGGGCCTGAAATGGGTCGCCCGCGGACGAAAAACGGACGCGCGTCCGTTTGGGTCGGTGCGTTAGGCCGCCACTTTTGTCCGCGCCGATCCAAACGGACGAGGGCGGACGAAATGGGTCACCCCATTGGAGTTGCTCTAAGTGTAGTTCGAATTAGCAGCTGGAAATTTTTGAGATTGTACATCAAACATGAATGTGTGTCTTCCAAAAAATTCATAATTTGTGAATATGTTTTGTGTCTTCATAAAGATTGATTTCATTGATCTCACCTAAAGGCAGATTCTATACTAGTCTTTTATCACAGGTTGTCATGGGTTTGAGCTAGGGACTGAGTTGGTTGTTCGTGTATAAAACAAAAAACAACTCCGTATCAGCACAATTTAAAATGTAAAATGCAATCATTTTCAGTCCAAATATAGGTCTTTGAGAGTTACACGTGTGCAAAGTGTTGATATATAAGCGCATTTTCAGCATTTTCTTCAAAAGTTAAATTTTTTGGCAAACTAATGTGAATAAAACTGTGGAGTGCTACAAATGCATCCTTAATGAGTCTGCCTTTAGTTCTCCCTGCGTATATATGAGCTCATTTTCATTTAAAGTAGTGATCTAAACGCTCTTATATTTCTTTACAGAGTACTACCTTGCATGTTTAATGAAACCATGTTGGTCTATGCCCTAGCATTAAGATCTCATTTGTAGCACTCCGCGTATGCATCATTTTTGTAATTCTCAAAATTAAGCTATCTCGTACCCGTACTTTACTTGAAAATATATTCTTAACATTGGGCAGACGCTATGCTTACATTTTTTTCTTCCAAATACCCCTTCTCTCCTGTCAGTATCTCCACAATTATAATGCCAAGACTGTATATGTCTGATGCAAATGTGACTTGTCCTGTGAAGAATTCGGGTGCCATATATCCCCTACAAAAAGACTTATGAAGTATGATCGATGAATGTGAACACAAATATAAGAAAATGTGTCAAACAGAAGAAAAGAAAAAACTGTCAGGAGGCTGGCTTACAGCGATCCACATATGCTTGAAGTGAAGGCCCGAGTCTGGTCTTTATCGAGGCACCTTGAGAGGCCAAAATCAGCAATTTTGGGTACCATTTGAACATCAATTAATATATTACTAGGCTTGAGATCTAGGTGGAGGATACGCTTCTCGTGAAGATGAAGTAGTCCCTCACAGATTCCCTTAATTATTTGGTACCTCTCTCTCCATTCAAGTCCATGAGATGCATCTGTGCAGGATTTTTTTTGTATTTTATATATTAGAGATAATTTAATGTAAATCTACATGTGCTTGATCATGCAAAGCATTTTAAATAATTTTTTCAGATGTCCCTACCTACTCTCAAATACTTAAATGAGCAGTGAATAACACTCAATAGTTAATTAACCTCCCCAAATTTATAGTGGGTCACTTCTGCTTTCCACAAGATGGAAAATTAACTTGCTCAAACCTTGTTATTTTATTGCATGCATCTGGTCTGACAAAATAGAAACATTTTTCCCTGAATCTAGTAACTTGATCAGGATTCTCTTTTTATTATGAATTGAATTATTCAAAAAATTGCTAGTATATCTAACACAATATATTGACTTTAGTAAAGACATAAATACATAACATTGTGATCATACCAGCAATATACTCATCGAGACTTCCGTTTGGTACGTACTCGAAGCATAGCAACCAGTTCCGAACATCTGCCATGACAAACTTTCCTTCATAATCTTCAATTCTCCCTTGCGTGTCAGAACAATATCCAAGCAAACGCACTATGTTTTTGTGCTTAGCCTTCATAATGCATTCAACTTCTTTGTGGAATTTATGCTCATGCATCGTTTGAGATAGTTTCTTCACAGCGACCATCTTTTTTCCCACCATTCCCTGCAATCACAAAGTGTATCACATATGTGCACATGTGGTGGTCTGACTATTATGTGCATATGTCGTTTACAGTTTTTGAGGAACCAGGAGGAGCTCTGCCTTCTTATTAAGAAGAGAATTGACCGGTTAATAAGGAGAACTGGTCAAAAACCAATACATTTGTGAGACACACACACGCCAGCCCCAAGGCTACGCATTAGCCGATCTGGCGACTCTGCCACCCGAGTGGTTGGACACGACACCCCCACAACACTACAAAGGACTCCGGAGTAGCCGCTCCGACTTCCACACCTCCCTCAGGCCGCGAACCAAACTAGTTGATGACACTGCCGCCCAAGCGACCAATGCCAACACTGCACATAGGAGAAATCCAGAGCCGCCGTTCCGACTTTCACTCCAGTCCCGAGGTCACCAACCAGGCGAGTTGATCAACTACAACT